ACTTGATGGATTTTTATAAAAATATGCTTCCAAGGGTCTGTAATTTGCCTACTTATTTGTATAATTACCAAGATCAACCACGAGAAGGTTACAGAAATTTTATCCCATTTTTAAAAACTCATCCGCCATTTTGAATTTTGAAAAACTGACATCGGATTTGTTATCAGCGACCACAAAAACTTCCGAGTGACAATTTTCAAACGAATCAGATCAATTTAAAAATAAAATTCCTCCGCAATATTGGCTTCGCCATTTTGATTTTTGCAAAACTGATTTTATATTCGTAATTAGTGACCCGAAAAATCCCTAAATACAAAATATAACAAAAATTACACTTTTTTAAAAAAAAAGTCGGGCGTTAAAGATTTAAAATTTTAAACAGTTCAAACAACGAATTGTCCAACAACAAATGTAATTACACCAGTCCGGATGTCAATTTTTCTTCTTTCTTTTTTTTAAATAACTGACCAGAGAAATACACTCGATAATTTGAATATTATTTTTTTCTCTACTTCACCATGGATAAAATAATATGAAACATTTCGTGCCTTGGTTCATTTTCACTATTTGTATTTTATGAACTCTTGGTGTTTTAGAATAAGTGAGAAAGAGAGTAGGGAGGGGGGGGGTAGGGGTAAATAGGAGGAGCTCGTTTCTGAAACAAATTATATCACATCGTAAATTTTCTGATATATACATTCTCACTTGTTTCTTATTCTTGGCAAATTTTCTCGTTCGCTATTCTCATTTTGTTAAATATTACTTTCAAATGTTAAGTACCTGATTATTCTTTTGAGAATTATTTAAAACTATATATGTGAGAGAGAGAGAAGATCGCGTGTGCAATACCTGCAGAAATTATATTTCTCCGCGCGTATAATAATCGTACCGGAAAACAATTATTATTTTACTTATCGGCGACGAACGCATCAAAAGAAAATCGATTCGTATTTGTAATGGTCTTTTTACATGACAAATTTAATATTCGGCAATTTTCGATTGCGCGGTGAACTTGTGCGCAATGTTTGGATGCGCAGTAGACTTGTGCGCAAGGTTGGCATGCGCAGAAGAGTTGTGCGCACTTTCTACGTGCGCAGTAGACTTGTGCGCATTGTTGGCATGCGCAGAAGGGTTGTGAGCACTTTTAACATGCGCAGTAGACTTGTGCGCAAGGTTAGCATGCGCAGAAGAGTTGTGAGCACTTTTGACATGCGCAGTAGACTTGTGGGCATTTTTCTCATGCACAGTTTAATTGTTCTCAATTTTTCGCTGTCCACAAGTACTAATTACAACTTACAGCAGCACAATAATGGTCAAAATGATATAAAATCGCATTTTCATTATAAAATACAAACAGTAATTACTTTTTCTAAATTATAAGCTAATGTTACTAATTTAAAATGAACCTTCAACGTTTGACACACAAGGAAACCTAATAAAATAATAAAAAGAATTCTTTTTTTAACATTCTCCTTTTCAACTTGATAAATAAATAATAATTAATCAGTGTCGATTGGATTTCGTGACTTGAAAATTGTACTTCGCATTTTCTGTTGTATTGAGCTTGAGTTATAGGGTGGGAAGGAAGATAAAGAATAAAGAAGCGATAAAAATCGTAGTTCACCGGTCATTCCCTTTTCTGACGCTAAAACATGTGCAGAAGCGTATACAGTCCAGTCCCTGCAGGTGGTCGGTGCATTATCGATGTATTTCCTTTTTACAACTTTTGTCATAATTTTCTCTCTCTCTCTCTCTCTCTCTCTCTTTCCTCGAACTACAAGCCATTCAAGTGTTTATCACTATTTTATTGTATCGCTGATCAAATAGAAAAAAATATATAACGCATAATCATTTATTATTGGTTGCAATATAAAAGATTATTATTCTCTAAAAGTAATAAAAAAAATTATGTATTTATAGAAAAGCGAAATTGTTATTCAATTTTTGCAATATATTTTACTGGAAATTGGTATTTCAATTCTTGGATTGTAACCGAGTGATCTAGTTATTTTCCTTTTTTATTCTTAATAAATAAACAGTTTGCTATTCTAAAATAAAAAAAAACCTTTAAAAAAATCGTATAAAGAAATTTTTTATTTTAAGTTACATAACTTTTAATTTTAATCGAAAATAGCAAATATTTTCTAACGAGATTATTTTGATTATAAATCGAATTAACACTGAATGTACAATCGTATATTTTTCAGGTCTATTTATATATATTTGAAAAATTAGTCTACTCCCTCGGTGACCTTATATAAAAAATTGCATAGATTATGGACACTTTATATTTTTATTGTCCTTTTAGATTAATAGAAAAAAATCTTTTTCCTATATAATAAAACATTACTCTAAAAAATGTTATTTTTAACGTAAAAATTAGGTTAGATTTAGGTCAAAGTCACTGGGAAAAAAAAAACAGAAAATTAGGTCAATATTAAATAAAGAATATAGTAAAATGACCTTAAAATACAGGTCAGAAATTATTCGACGAATATACTTTTAAATTTTTCAGGTTAAAAAACGAAATAAACATTAGAAGAGAAACAGAAAATTGTGCGAATATAAAATTCCAAATTTAGGTCAATTATCACAGGCAAATGAATGCAATTTATTAAAAAGTATAAGTCATAGGTCAACAAATAAAATATCTAGAAAATTTCAAGTAATATCAGTATCTGTTCGAAGGTCAAAAAATGCAATAACTTTAAAATTTAAAAAAAGCTATAGGTCAAAAGAAATTAAAAATTTAGGTCAATAAACAAAGGTTAATAAATGCAAAATTTTTAAAATTAAGAGACAAAGGTCATAAGACTAATAAAACATTTAAATGTTGGTAAAAAAAATTAATGAGTAGTTAACCTTTATTTTTTAGGTCAAATTCCATAGGTCAAAAATCGATATAACTTAAAAATTAATATTTACAAATCGGTTAGCGATTATAATTCGCAAATTTAGGTCAACATTCACAAGTTAAAACATGCAATTTCATAAAAAATACAATTCGCAAGTCGTAATAGTAATATGAAATTGAATTTTAGGTCAAAAGTTGTAAGTAAAATAAGGGAATAAACTTAAAAGTTTTAGGTCAATTTCAGAAGGTGGAGAAGTGAAATATCTAAAATTAAAATGAATAAACTCACTTTGGTCAGTGGAAAAATAAGTTTTCATTTTAGGTCAACAATCACAGGTCAACGAATGAATTTTCTGAAAAATTTCAGAATTATATGTTGCCGACTAATAGAATATTAAAATTTAGGCCAAAAGAGACAAAAGTACTTGAAAATAAGTCCATGGCAATTTTAGTCAAGTTACAGGTCAATAAGCGACTATGACTTAAAAATTAGGTCCAAACTCAAAATTAGTACTCAAGTAGGTCAAAAAAATGACATTAGTTCAAAATTTAGATTAAGAGTTAAATACAGGTCAAGGGGATAAGAACTTCATAATAAGAACTCATAAAATTAAGGTTCAAACTCGCAAATCAATGGGCGAATATAATTTTAAAATTTAGGTCAATATTAATAGGTCAAGTGGTTGACATTTTTTTGAAAATTTACCAAAAATTCATACATAGATAAATACAAAACAATATAAATTTTTTTTTTAAATTGAATAAGAATTCAAAAATTTAGGTCAAAACAGGTCAAATTTGGTAATTAATTAAATAAATCCTAATCAAATATAATTATTAATTATAAAAAAATTTTGTTTTTAAAAAAGTATTATTTCATAGTTAATATATTAAATAAAAATTGAATATAATGTGCAAATAAAAATTATAATTACAAAATTATAATTATAATAACTACAAAATTAAAAATATTGACATTTTAGAATTTAAATTTGCCAACTAATATTTTTTTTGACATAATAAATATTTAGTTAAAAGAAAAAGAAATTTTTTTTTACCTAATTTTAGTTTATATTTTTAAAAATATTTTTTAAAATAAAAATGTTTATTTTGACATAATATTCTTCAAAAAGAAAAGAAATTTTTTTTTGCCTTTACATTTTGTGAAGAGTTTGAAATAAGTGCGTATATATATATATATATATATATATACGGTTTTGTGAGAGTTTAGCCACGCGATGCTCAAATTAAAGGAATTATAGATAAATTTTTTTCGAAGAAAAAAAAATTTCCTTTTTTTCAAACCCATACTTTTTGGGGGATAATCTTTTTTTCTTTTGATTTTACGATAAGAGAATTTTATCAAAAAAAAAAAAAATTTTTTTAAGTAAGGAAAAATTTTTTTACTGCGAAAGATATTAAACTTTCGCAGTAAAAAAATTTCAGTAAAAAAAAAACTTTTGATTAATTATTGATCAGAAAATTTATACTTGAAATTATTAAAATCTATTAAATTATTTAAATAGTAATAAGAGATTAAATAATTTTTTTTTGTTTTTTCTATTTGTTTGTATAATTGAAATAATAATAATTATTCAGTTTGTTCTGTTTAATTTTAGTTTAATTTGCTTTTTTCATTGATTTTTAAAAATTTTTTGATTAATACAAACTTTGTTTATTTTAATAAATTTATTCATATTTAAATTTTATAATAATTATTTTTTATAATTTATTTTTCAAATTTACCGTTGCCAGTTAATAATTAATATTATAATTATAATTATATTATATATAACATGTATAACTATAATTATAATATTATGATATATATAATTATAATTAAAATATTATTAAATATTATAATTATAAAGAAATGTAAATAATTATAATAAAATATAATTATAATATTATTTAATAAATGAAAATAATTATTATTTTATTCCCGTAATACCGTTTACACAAGAAAATAATTAAATGAAAAATAACGAAGAAGTAAATAAATATAAATAGATAAATAAACGATGTAAATAAAAAAAGTTAAGTAAAAATTGCTCTTCAAAAATTAATTTTTAAAAGACTCTAATATTAAATGAAATAGTGATAAATAAAAATAGCAGTTAATAAATTTAATTGAAAATATACTTACAGCGGTGGATTTCGATATCGTTTTTGAAATTGCAACATTGCCTGTGAGTTTTTTACAAATGTGTAAGTATCCTTTTTCTCCGGCAACGATGGAATGCGAAACGATTGTAATCCTCGATTACATATTTGGCACTGTTGGGCTTTTGTAGCCATTTTTTTCCTTCTTTTTTCTCTTTCCTTTATAACAAACTTGCTTTATTTCAATAAAATCTCACAATACAAAAACAGTCAAAAAAAATTACACTTGTTTGTTGGTTAAAAAGAAATATATACTTATAAACAATTAAATTTACACTTTACGATTTAAAGTGCTTTTCATTTAATATTGAAATTGAAGATTTTTTGTTTATCAAAAAAAAAAATATATTCTTTACAATGTATTTCACTTTTGACAATTGTATTTTTACGGTTCGCGTTTTATTTCGTGTTTCTATAAACAAACGGATCACATGGACTAAAATAGAGATATGTTATTTTACTTTGTTCCTGAATGTTGAACTTGATTTGTTGTCATAGTAACAAAACAAGAGATTCTCGTCAATATTTTCCTCATGGCAATTTAAAAGAGTGTCATTTTATGTTTGAAAATTTTATTTAAGTACATAATTCTTTAAAATGCATATAATCGATGATCCATTAATTATTGTAAATTTTGAATGTAATGTAAATTATTAATTTATTTAATTTTTTAATTATTTGTGTAATTATTGCTTACAATTATTTATTTTTATAATTATTAATTAAATTATTAATTATTTCTATAATCACTTATATTCACTAACTTAATTATTTAATAACTAATTTATAAATTTATTTGTACATTACTTAAACATATTTATTATATTTATTTATTTTATAAATGTATATAATATTTAACCTAATACATTATTCGAAAATTATATTTTTCTTTTATTAATAAAAACAAGTATGCAGGACGTAATATTACTGTAACATTACAAATAACCTATTTTTAGGTCCTCATTTATTAATTTATTTATTTACATAATTTGTATGTATTTATTTATAAATGCATTCCTATACATTTTGTTTTCTCCTTTAGGCGAGTAAAATTACTCACCTAAAGGAGAAAACAAAATTTCAAGTCAAAAACGTGGATTTTTAGTCGGTAGCGTCACTTGTGATTTTATTTTAGAACTACAAACAGAAATCAGATGGTAACGTATTATAATTTTGAAAATTATGTTAAATTTCTTTTTTACTAAAATCAAAATTAGTCTATTTAAAAGTAAAATTTGAAATTAATGTTTCCCAAGAATTATTGACAATTTATTTTCAACAATAATTTTTATTTTTCAAATACCGTATTGGGAAATGGTAGGAATTTTTCAACTTTGCTATTCATTTACCGACAGAACTGGATTGCTCAAGAGAGATTATTTATTACCATTTGTTGATAGCTTACCCCCTATTTATCGACTTAGTGAAAAGATTAAAAAAATAACAATTAATTTTAAGAATAGAGGTTTTGTATAGTTTTTTGAATAATAATTTGAAAAAGAAAAATTTGTAAAAAAAGAATTCTATTGTTTTGGTCAAGAAACATATTTTTTTTTTCTTTCAATCGTAGGATCATAAACGTTGTGAACTTCACTGACGTTAAATACTAGCATATACTTCACAAGAAAATATAAACATAACTTGTAAAAAAAGACAATGATGTAGTAGATATGTTTCAAATGAAAGTGTCAATAGAAAAATAAATTGAAGAACTAAATTATCAAACGTAAAAATCATTTGTTGGCCCTGAAAAGGGCCGATTGTTTGGTGAAAGTTGGGTAAAAATGCCTTCTTGGGCAAAAGAACAGCTTGGATGTTGGGGAGAACACCACCTTGGACGATGGTGACTCCAGAAAGAAGTTTGTTCAATTCTTCGTCCCCTCTCTGTGCCGTGAATGGCAGATGATCACAGTGAGTGCCCGCACCAATAAAAAGGCTGCAGGCGGATATAAATACGATGTTGTCACTGCGGAAAGTATCGATCGATCATCACCTTTCTGCTATGCATGCGTATGGATGAAATGTACAGTAAATTTGACAAAGGCGTTTGGCGGGTGTCAAATTTGCTATAAATATGATAGACTCCTAGTCCGAGACTGGGAAAATCCAAATATTAAGAAATTCAAACCCTATGACAGGAGCAATGTGGAGAATAATCAAATCAAAACGAGCAATCGTTATGAAGTAGTCATAAAGTAGAAAATGAAAAAATGGACCAGGATGAAGTAAACAAATCTGATAACAAACCTTCTGAAACTGAAAGTGAAACTAAAAATAAAATTATCAAGAAAACAAAAATTCCACCAATTATAATTCAAACCACAATTGATGACATAGGATTCTTTATCAACCTCATACACGAAGTAACCTCAGGCGACCCTGTGTTTACTAGAAATAAGGAATCTACAAAAATTACTATTTTACCTGATGCAGAAGAAGATCATATGAAAATTCAACAATTATTGAAAGCCAAAGAAATACCTTACTACACTTTTGAGAAAAAGGAAGAGAAACCTGTCAAAATGGTACTACGAGGACTAGCCTTTTTTGCAGATGAAAACGTTAAATCACTGCTTGAACAAGGAATTAAAGCAGAAGTAATTAAAATGAAACAAAGAAGTGATCTCCAAAACTACAATCCCTTGTTCTTAGTGACATTAGGCAAAAGTGTTAAAATCAGTGATGTGTACAAAGTGAAAAGTGTGTGTTATATGAGAGTTTCTTGGGAGAAATTTAAAAACAAACAAATCACCTTTGCCACATCCTGACATTTTTGATTTGTTTGTAAGTTAACGAAGTACACACAACGAAATATTCGAGGAAAATGATGTTCTGCACCTGAAATTCGCCTACTTACGTTCGATTCAGTAGAGTCCCCCACCAGTGCGCTCCCCTCTCTGTGCCGTGAGTGGCAGATGGTCACAGTGAGTTTCTGCACCAATCAAAAGGCTGCAAAAACCTACAAACTTGCAGTTTTTCATAATATTGCAATGTATCAAGCTAAGTGTATTATTGAAAAATTAGAAGTAACTTGCAAGGTTCTACGTGCATTGTTTTAAAAAAAGTAAATAATAATAATCGTTTGCCTTAACATTTACTGAATTTTTAGATTCATAAAATATCAAATTCATTGCAATGTTGGATTCAGTAGTTTAAATTTTGAAAATCCGACTCTTTATTCGGAATCAGTGACCCCAAAAACCCCCAAGTAACGAGATTCAAGCGAATCCAATTAGTTTTGAAATTTTTGTCCGCCATTTTGTATTTTGAAAATCTGACTTCAAATTCATAATCAGCGACTCCAAAAACCCCCGAGTAACAATTGATTTAATTGATGAAAAGGTGTTACACTTTTTTGACCCAGTTTATAATATTTCAGCTCCACAAGAAAGGGCATTCTAGAGATATTTTTATTATATATCCTTAGGATATCCTGTCCTCTACAAATCCCGATAATATTCTAGAGATATCATTAAAATTGGAACTTCTTTATTTTGTCTCAGGAGAACCATGAGAACAACAATTGATTTACAACAAATACAATATATATATATGTGACACTCCACGAGAAAAGGGACCTTATGGCAAGAGTAAATAAGGTCCCTTTTCTCGTGGAGCGTCATATGTATATAATACAAACAGTAGATAATTATACAGATCACGAAAAAAAATTTAAACCAAAAGAATCACAAAAATAAGGATTATAATGCAATCATGTTACAGAACAAAGACGCAAGACCTGCAGCTTTAATATATTGAGCATCATGATATAAAGATTACACCTATATCTGAACATTTTAGTTCTAAACCTCCTAGAAACTTATGATATTAAATAGAATCTGTCGTTTTATCACAAGCATATACTGTAGAATACAAATTAACGCATTTAAATTCTAATATAAATTATATAAGTACAGAATCAAATAAAATTAATCATGATAATTTGTAATTTTTTTATTTAAAGTGCCGACTTTAAATCGCAAAATAGAATGATATAGTTTAAATAATTACATGGATTTCAATCAACATATTTCTATTAGTTTAGAAAATCTTAAAATTGAAATAATATTTTATATGTTCTTATGATAAAATTTTACTTAAGAACTGTAAATTAAGAAGTTTTTGAAATTCTTTAAGGGTTCATACCACTTTGTCAACTTCAACAAATTAAATTTTTTTACGGATTTTAAAAGTATAGAATATCTCAAAAATGTTGTGTAAAATTTTAGGAAGATCTCAGCACTTTAAATATATTATTTTAGGTGACATTTGAACGCGTACAAAGGCTATGTACTTACATAGTTACTAGTTGAATCAGTAAATTTTTATATTATCAGTAACTCAATTCACATTTTTTCATGTTGTGTATTCTATTGTTAAATTTTAAATAATTAAACAATATTTTTTTTAATAAAACGACGTTTTCTATATAGTTAAAGAGTGTCTTTGTTAAAAGAAAAAAAATACCTAGATATAAAAGACCTAGATCAATAAAATTCACATGGATCGTAAAAAAATTCTCCAAAAAAGCTAAATTTTGAGGCATGTATAGTGGTATGAACCCTTTATTAACAAAGTATGACTTTCGTTTTCGACCAATCACTGTTTCTGAAAATGATCACCGTCAGCGGATTGATCGGAAAGTGAATGTGAATAAAAATAGAGAAGGCATAATTAAATATTTATTCACAATCTATATACATATTTTGATTTTTATTCGAAATGGTCAAAATTACGTACTTTTCCTTAATTTATGTACTCAGTTCGAGGCCTGTCTAATGAAATAAAAACAAATTAAAAAGAATGCAGAGAACTTTGAATTCAAACGTAAAACCATTTGTTGGCCCTGAAAAGGGCCGATTGTTTTGAATGATGACGATGATGAATATGAAAATTAACCGCCGAAACCGTAAAGGGTGCGGCCTTGACGTTTGAGAGCATAGACGACGTCCATGGCGGTGACGGTCTTCCTCTTGGCGTGTTCGGTGTAAGTGACGGCGTCACGGATCACGTTCTCAAGGAACACTTTCAAGACACCACGGGTCTCTTCGTAAATCAATCCTGAGATACGTTTCACTCCACCACGACGAGCCAAACGACGGATGGCGGGCTTGGTGATACCTTGGATGTTATCACGCAACACTTTACGATGGCGCTTTGCTCCTCCTTTTCCCAATCCCTTTCCTCCCTTTCCGCGACCAGTCATTTTGGCAGAGAATTAATTAAGTACGTTCAAACAGAACAGAGAACAAACTCGGAATGATGCTAAGCCGGCGAAAGTGCGCTGTTTTATTCCCTCTGGAGTTCCACTGCTCCCCTCCACGATCTGACCGACCAATCAGGATGTCAGTGTCCCCTTCCTCTTGACTAACTGGTGCAAGAGCTTCTGAAAGCTATAAATATGTGCGTTCATATCGCCGAAACCATTTTCCAGTCGTCCTTTGTACTTTAAAGTCGTAAGCAATGGCTCGTACTAAACAAACCGCGCGCAAATCCACTGGTGGTAAAGCACCAAGGAAGCAACTCGCCACCAAGGCCGCTCGTAAGAGTGCGCCTGCAACCGGTGGAGTGAAGAAGCCCCATCGCTACAGGCCCGGAACCGTCGCTCTCCGTGAGATCCGTCGCTACCAGAAGAGCACCGAGCTCCTCATCCGCAAACTGCCCTTCCAACGCTTGGTCCGTGAAATTGCTCAGGACTTCAAGACCGACCTGCGCTTCCAGAGCTCCGCCGTGATGGCCCTCCAGGAGGCCAGCGAGGCCTACCTCGTCGGTCTCTTCGAAGACACCAACTTGTGCGCCATCCACGCCAAGAGAGTCACCATCATGCCAAAGGACATACAATTGGCTCGTCGCATCCGAGGAGAACGTGCTTAATTTCTTTCACCTTCAAGAACAAACAATCGGCCCTTTTCAGGGCCAACAAATTTTTTTACGTTGAAATATTTTTGATTCTCTAAGGTAGTCGTACAAATAAAAATATATATTATTATTAATTATTATTATTTCTTATTGTTCTGCGAGTATTTTATAGAAAAATGTCGTCGGTTGGATATTTTATATTAATAAACTCAATGTAATAATTAACATATTCAAAGACTGGTTTAATTAGTTACTATAATGTAAACCAAGTCCGTTTCTGGGCCAATAGGCTAAAAAGTTACTAAAAGTTCTGACTATTTTGACAAAAACTACAGGTTAATTGACTATTTGATTAATAAAATCATTACTAATTTAATTTATAACGGACATTCTGAATAATTATTTTTAGCTAAAAATAAGAATTTCATGCCTTTGGACTTTTGACTACAAATTTCCATTTTTGACCACTTTACCAATATTATTGATTTCAATTTTAGAAATTGGAAACAAAAAGTTGGTACTTGCCCACAAAATTGAATTTAGAAAAGTTATACAATATAATTAAATGTGCTTTTCGATAAATATTTCGTTATTTTTGAACTGATGAAATTTTCACAGCATCCAATCAGTAATAATTAAGATCTATGGAAATTTCAATGTTTTACAGTTATTTTCACTCCAAGTTATTGAAATTTCACTAATTGTTTTTATTTCTCAATAAAAAATATGTGTATTTATTTCAACTTGAGAAAGACAATAAAATTCTTTTTTTATCTTATATTCAATACATACGATTAAATTTCAAGTTCTAGCCTAACTTCAATTTTCTTCAACTTTTTTCTTATTTTTTAGTAATATTATTCTTTGAAAAAGCTAAAAATTATTTAATCCATATGACTGATTGTTCAAAACAATGAAATAAAAGTTAAAAAACAATTCCATAAGAAAATAATAAAAATAAAAATTTGAATTCTTTCCACAATTTTGGATTCAAATAGCAAATTTATTAAATATTTCTTTACTTTCTAAATTTCCATGATGTAAAACGTAATTTAACATTGTCAATAATATTAGAAAAGATATAAACAGCGTAAATTCATATGGCTTGAAATAAAGAAGTTGAAGTCCACGACTTTGATCATTGAAAGAAATCTATTCAATAAATTTAAATATTGTTTATAATTTAATGGTAAAACAATTATCATCAAAATATAAACATGAATTTATTTTTATAAATATTTTTGTGGTGATATGGCTGCGTTATTTATAAATAATTTACTTAGTGAACAATTTTTTTCTTTGATCAACGTTGTGGACTACAACTTGGTGAAATATTACTGGCCCGTCGCCATAATTATTTTAAATATAAAAGTTATTCTTTTACAAATTTATAGAATTATTGAACATTCAAATAATAAATGTAAGGTTTTTACCTATTAGTTTTTAATTGTACAAAGTATAAAAACTAAAAAAAAAATTTAAACTTTTTTCAAGCATAGTACAGGTATACAAGAAAGTACAAAACTGATAATTCAGTTATACGTCACGAAAACATACATTTGACTGTTTTAAAATTAATCATTCATAGTAAATTTCAATAATATAATAAATTATTCTAAAAATTTAATAAATTATACATAAATGATGTTGAAAAATTATTAAAAACTTTTTATTATTGATCTAGACAATGCACTCTATCCCACTGCATTATGTGCCGAAAGTAAGAACTCATACCCGAACTGAAGCAACCGTACCTCCTTCAATTTATAACTTAAAGTACAAAAAGTTTTTTATCCGAAGAGGGAGATAAATAGAGCATTAAATTAAAAGGTTAATTTTTTAACAATTCAATTTGTTTCATTGTTTTTTATAATTTTCTGAACTTGTTGAGAATGATCACTAAAAGCAGAGTCTTGAAAATTGCTCATTTTTACAGAAAAACACAATGACAGTATAATGCTTTTTCTTAATATTAGACAACTAGAATAATCGTATAATAGAAATCAAATCTATTTGCAAGTGGAGAAAAACAATTAAAGATCAAAAAGGTGAATAAAGTTTTGAATGGTGTACCCAAGTTACCTAGAATTCAAACGAGAGAAAGCCAACGAGCGCTGGGGCCTTTCTTCACCGTCCGTGCGTTTTACTATGTCGATGAGCGCAGGGAATTGTGTTTATTACTGTTTGAACGCTTGTGTTGAAAGCATCTCCAAGTTATTGAACACTTTTTGTAGTTTTCCAAAAAAAACTTTAGTACAATGGCAGACAAGGTAGAATCCCCAGCTGTACCTGCAGTGGCAACTCCGAAGAAAGCAGCCAAGGCGCAGAAGCCCCGTGCCAAGGCCAGTCACCCACCAGCGTCTGAGATGGTGAACGCGGCCATCGCCACTTTGAAGGAGAGAGGCGGCTCTTCGCTCCAAGCCATCAAGAAGTACATCGCTGCCACCTACAAAGTCGATGTCGAGAAGCAGGCTCCCTTCATCAGAAAGTACCTGAAGGCTGCAGTCGCCAGCAAGGCTCTGATCCAGACCAAGGGCAAGGGCGCTGCAGGGTCCTTCAAGTTGAACGTCGCCAAGGCCGAGGGCAAGGCCAAAGCCAAGCCCAAGACCAAGACTGCCGCCAAACCCAAAGCTGCTGCAGCACCAAAGGCCAAGAAAGCAGCTTCTCCAAAGAAGGCCGTGGCAGCCAAGACCAAGAAAGCCGTCGCCGAGAAGAAGAAGACCCCGAAGGTTGCGGCCAAGCCACCGAAGGCCAAGTCCACCACCGCCAAACCCAAGGTGACCAAGGCTGCTCCCAAGAAGGCGGCCAAAGCTTCGCCCAAGAAAGCTGCAGAGCCCAAGGCGAGGAAGCCCGCGGCAAAGAGGGTTGCCAAGAAGTAAAGTGAAATAAAATTGATAGTGGATGATTGAAAACAAACGGCCCTTTTCAGGGCCACCAATTACTTTTTACGAAAGAATTTTCTTTGTCTCAAACATAATTATTCAGAATGGTATCTCCATTTACCAAGTTGAAAATAATTTATTTTAAAGATTTTGTAATCTTAAATTTCGTTTTTCATATCGATTATAACACAAACAGGGTGTCTACTAACCGGGAAATAGCCGGGAAACGAAATATCTAAATAAAATTTTTATCAAATCGTGTGCTATGTAAGGGAACAACTGTCATTGGTCGATATATCAGGTCATTAAAAAATTTACAAGAAAAATAAATCTTTTGCTCGGAGAATTTTACCTATAAGCATTGAGTATTAGAGGAAATAATTTTTCTTGTGTTTGAAATTATAAAATTAAAATTTCTGTTTTATTTATAAAGTGTTACTAAAATGTTTAAAAGATTTACTTAGAATGACGTTCAATTGTTAAATCCTGTACGGTATTAAATTTAAAAAGGGATGGCAACCGAAATTTTATCGGTTTCGGTTTTGACTTTTCTGTATTCTTCTAAAAAAAATTCGGTTTCGGTATTTCTGTTACGGTTTTTTTCAAAGAATTAGGGCTTCTGTATTTGGGTTTCGGTTTTTAATGTAAATAATTACAGTTACGATTTCTTAAAAATTTCGGATTTTTGGGTTAAAGCTTTCGGTTTTTCGGTTGTTTTCCTCGGACAATATATGAATGAAAATATTTGTGTGCATTTTAATTATTTAGAATTAAATATGTATAATAATTACTCATAATTTGTTTATAAATTTGTTTTATATTTTATAAAATGGCCATAGCGTTGTCAAGGAAAAAAAAAATTCTAAAAATTTTTTGAAAAAACGTTTTTCTCCCTAACTTTTACATTATTTGACCTAATTAGCTAAAAATTGGTATATTAGTGTATTTTTACAGGCTGATCACAAATTCGATGGCTGCTAAATGAAAACACATTATTCGCGAGAGCGTTTATAAAACACGTAACTCACGAAAACAAATAGAAAATATGCTTATTTAAAATGACAGATTTTTTAAGGCTGTGTGACAATTTTTAATTTTTATTATTTTTAAAGTGTTAACTAATTGCAAAAATGTAAGTTAATAAAATTGTTTTATTAAAGCTAAATTAACTTTAAATAATAAAAATTCTTTATTTGGCATTTTATATTCACTTAAAATGAATAACAAAATTTTTAAAAATTAGCCTAAAAACGATTTCAGATGAATAACGCTTTTTCTATTTGTTTTCGTGAGTTACGTGTTTTATAATTTCTCTCGCGAATAATGTGTTTTCATTTAGAACCCATCGAAATAATTAATTTAAGAAAATTTTTTTAATTAATTATTTGTAATCTGCTAATTTGTTCGTCTTTCTAGTTTTCGGTTTTTTAAAAATTTCTATTTTTTCAGTTAACGGTTTCGGTTGCCATCCCTGAATTTAAATAAATTATATATGTAAAATTCTGTATACTTTTCAAGTGTAATTATTTATT